ATACGGAAGTAGCACAAAGAAAACAGAAGTTATACTATGATCTGAAACGACGGGGAGTAACTTATAAAGTAGGGGATGAAGTTTTAAAAATCAAGCATTCACTTTCTTCAGCACCAGAAGATAAAACTGCCAAATTTTTTCCACGCTTTGAAGGACCATATGTTATAGAAAAAATAACTCACGCTGTTGTAGTGTTAAAGGCAAGAATGGTGAAACCTGTTTCCGCAAATATTGATCAATTTAAACCCTACTTCGATCGTAATAAAATGAAAATCTTTTCAGATCTTTTGCAGGATCTGGTACGGCAGACACCGCAGGTACAAGTTCAAGAGGTGGGAAAACGACAAGTACAAGGGCAAGCCAATGAGAGACAGAAGCAAGTGAAAAGAAAATTGCCCCGTGGAAAAACTGAAGGTAAAAAGAAAAAGAAGCCATTCCACCGTCCAGAAAACAGAGTGCACGAACACCCCCAGAATGAAGAAGGGAGAAGGACGACGTATGTGGAAAGGACCGGGAGAAAGGACGGCAACTATAACCCGGCTGTGAAACGGAAGATTGACTCATCCGACAGAACTCTCCGCAGCAAAAGTCGCCGAACTGCAGAAGGGCCATCAGCGGCGGAGGAAAAAGTACAAGAAAAATTTGAACGGCCAACAACGAGGTCCAAGCAGGATCACGACAGAAGTTTCCCGGTTCCACCAAGACCAGCTGCCTTCAAACGGCCAAGACCACAAGCAGAGCACAAAAGGAAGGTGTTCAAGGGTGGCCGTACTGGTGAAAAACGGAAGCTTCCAGAGGAAAGCACTGAAGGGCGAGCCCGTACAAGAAGGAGGATCAACCAAGCTACTATCAGCTATACCTTTAAAGACTGGGCCCAGAAAAGGATGTCTGAATATTACAAAGATAAGTAAAATTTTATGTTACTTTACAAACTTAAGTTAATCTTTCATTCTTACTGCAAGTGACAGATTTCAAGAAGTTTTACCTCATGCGAGGTCTACCTTTATCGCCAAAAGGGCGAGAAATGAGTTGTGACCGATTTTCTTATTATGTTTTTCAATTACTCGCGCGTAAAACTAAAGTTGATGTATAATAGCGTTGTGTAAAGACTTAAATATTGTAAAAAGTTATTGTATAAATTTATTTAAAACATTCTAGCAAGAAAGAAGTTTTAGTCTGAAAGACTTTTTGAAATGTAGTATTATTTCAATGTAGAAAGAATTGGCACTTGCTTTGAAAGAAATAGAAGTTAACAATGTACTACTAATGTATGTTTTCAAATGTGTAAAATTAACGGCATGTTGATATGTTCTTGTATACATGTGAACTGTTATTTTGAATGTTTAAGAAATACCGTGATATGGTAAAAGTGAAAGTAATGTTAAAAATTTGTTATTCGTGTGACTGTAAAGATTAAATCATGGTGAATATGTGTTAAAGGTTGAATGATGTACTTTCAGAATAGTACCTCAGGGTTTAGAGTTGAAAGTAGGGTGTGTTAAGAGGTCTCGTATGTTGAATTTTAACACGTTAGTGTTTTGATTGTAGGAGGAAGTGTGGCACACGTAGACAGAAACACATACGTGTTTGGTGTTCTTTTACAACACATGTCAGAGAGTACGGGGAGAGATAATTAAAATAGTCATGAATGAAATAAGAATGTTAAGAGAAGTATATTCTATATGTTAATTGCAATGTCATTCTGTAACATTTCATTAAACTAGTTTTCCTTCCAGATCTCTGGAAGGAACCAGAATTGAAATAAGAAAGCTTCCTGTTTAGATGCAGTACAGACGAAAAAAAAAGATATGTTGTATATCCCGGGAGCTACTATGATGTAACAACGACTTTCTTTCTTTTAAATTTTTCTAGTTTCTAGCTAGGAGTTATGATTGTAAAAGGTTGGCCTCGCGTTAGTTTAGAATTAGAGCTAAAAGTTTTCAACAAGGTCGTTTTTAGACCTCAGTTTCAAACAAATTAACTCTGGCGGGAAAATATGTAAAGGATCTTAAGTTTTACTAACGTTTATTTTATTTTAAATCTTTACTATCACTCTCTTATTTTCCACTTCCGGCCAGAATTATAATGCGTGAAGGATTTTATGCAAAGTTGTACTGGCGAACGCCCAAGTATTTAAGTGTGGCCTTTTTGCCAAGCAGTTAGAGAGAGGGAAGCAGTGAGCCGCCTTCGAAGCAGGCCACTTACCTTAGAAGTTTTCGCATCAGTTGCTATTTGCCTTCCAAGGCCAGAGGTTTAGGATCCTCTTGATAAATTAAAACGTATTGTAGTGTTCACAGTCTCTGTGCTACATACGCTTCCTGTTATTATAAGGCCAATCTTATTCTAAAGTTAAATTAGAGTTTAGTTTTATTTTTATACCTTTTACGTTAGACCCCGAGTGGAGGGTCATTGTATTTCGAAGTACGGAAGTCATTGTATATAAAGAAAAATAAAGGGTCTTGTATACCCTTCGTCTGTATCCTGTCTACTTACTACAATTAGTGAACATAGCTTTAGTAAGCTCTCTGTTCCTAGTCAGGTCATTGTATGTTTCCGAAGAAGATTAGAAGAAACATTGAACCTGATAAACTGAAGTTATTGTCCGTCTTTTACAGAAATTCTATAATGTCTAACCAAAACATGAACACAACAATTATTAATTCATTTTGTTTTAAAATTTGTCGAAACATCAGCACCAGTGAAATGCTCTCAGGCTGATTTTGCCCAGATCAAAGAAATTTCATTAATAGAGGAAGAAGATAATGTCCACAGTGTTAGTGATTGCAGTGGTGTTCTAATGATATACTATATGGGCTGTTATTGTCAGAAAGCGGAAATGAATAAGATCTTGTTATGTGTAATGAAGAATTATTTTCATTTCAAATGCTTGTGCATTTTTAATACATTTCTATTACATATTATTACTTGTATGTTTTGTTAAAATATTAAGCTTAAAACATTTTAAGATTCTTTAGATCTAGAATAATGCTTCTTTTCTTGCATAAATATAATGCCTTTTATTTACATCTATTCTTTAGGAATGTATATGCCATGTAAGAATACATTAGGTGTATAGTATTCATTTAAAACTTATGTTTCAGTATAAATTAATGATGGATTTGAAATTAGAAATTTTTCTACTTTTGATGCTCTAAGTTTATTTTACTTAATTATTTTTTAATTGGAAGATAAAGTTTTCTTATGTAATGAAATCTATATATCTTATGATAAGACAATTAATGAATGGTTAATTACAACATGCATTATGTGCGCATTTTCAAAGTTGTAAAAATGTCGTTCGCGTGTTCACTACTGACAAGTTCTGCTGCAGGTTGGAGTCTATGCTTATCTTCCCCTTAATTTTTTTTTTCTTGGAGATTTTTATTATAAAATACATTCTATTTAACCTTTGTGCATTGTAGAAGAATAGTACATAATACAGTCAAAAGTCGTTAATTCGGACACCCGTAATCCGGACCTCAAAGCTAAAATCTTTCTGCGCATGCGCCGCATTGACGCATGCGCATAGGCGTTTTACTCGTGCGCCCAAGACATTTACGACTGCGCATATGCGTCTGCGCAAGTGCAGAATACGATTTCGCGTGCGCGTTTAATGTATAACGGACGGTATAAGCTAAAATTATCTAATTATCTATTTCAGTTAATGTCGATGATTGCGTTGTTCCTTAATCTTCGAATTGGATCCGGCTTATTATTTTTTGCAGACTGTAAGAGCAATTTTCTAAAAGTAAGCTTGAACTTTTGATTATGTCAAATAGAATTTCCGATGCTGGAGCTCCCAAAGGATCTAGAAAAACGAAAGTATGTTTCGATGTCCATCAAACACAAAAAATGAATTGCTACAAAAAATGGATAAAGGCATATTCTTTGTTTATCTAACCGTTCCGAAATCTGTTTATCAATTTCACGCTGCTCTGCGCGGGGGGGGGGAAGACGTCCCGGCGCGCAATGAACTGGAAGTTGATTTGTCAACACTATCGTTATCTTCAGAGCAGATGTTTTTATTTTATTCGGCTTATAATTCCATACTAAATGTAGTATTTAATTTCGATGTACTCCGTCTTTGATATGATTTAAATCAAATTCCTCGTCATTATAAATACCACGAATACAAATCGAATAGTTTTCTGGTTGCAATTTTCTAATTTTGGCTATGCGTAAGGTATGCTTTACGCATCCGCGCGTTGAAAGAAATGTTTAATAAAGTAAACAAATAAATATTAGGTTTCTTTTTTGGTAAATTTTGATACCCTTTAGATCATAATTGCTCATTATTTTATAAATTACGGTTTCATATTTTTAATTTTATAATTTCTGAATGCCATCTTACCAGATTTAAACTGATGATCTATAATCCGGAATCGCCGAAGTCCCGACGAGTCCGGATTAAAGACTTTTGACTGTATAATTATTGATTACATAATTTTAATATGAGAGAAAAAGAGACATAGAGCTCACAGGGAATAGTATTGGCAATGGTAAAGTTTTGTACACTTTTCATGACTAGAGATTAATTATCAATTAATTTTTTTATTATGAACTCTAACTATTGATTGGTGCTAGCAATCAATAGTTTCAGAGTAACCTTATGGTACTTAAAAAAATGGCATTTCCTAGCTCTCCAGAAGTCTAACTAAAGTTTAAAAGTTCTGGTTTAGATTTTTGGTTTAGATTAAGTTTGAAAGTTAGTTTACATTATGACTGATACATTTTTGCAGTGTTGTGAAATTTCATATGCTAAAATGCATTATAAGTGCAAATTTCATTCTTTATACTATTATTAAAATCAAAATTCTAATTTAATAATGCAAGAAAAACATGTTTTTTCTGAATATCTCAATCAAAATTTCAATATTAGTTACTGCCTAAAGTTCAGGTTTAGCATTTCTAATGAAAAATAACTTAATTCGAACCTCCATTCAGTTTTTGTGTATTATGCAAAACAGTTTTATCTCGTATATGAGTATCTTTATTTTCAGGTTCTAGAAAACGAAAAATTTATCCATCTCCATCTTCTGAAGACAGAAGCAGAAAACAAATTAAAAAAACCATAGATGGACGTAATGTAAGAATTTTTTTTTACTATTCACATGAATTTTTCAAAGATATATTTAAACACAAGCAAGAAAAAATATAATCATTATTGTGCTTTATAAAATTAACTTTTGTTTTTAAAAAATGAGGAATTTAAAAGTTAATTCTTTAAGCACGGTAAGAAACTTATATTTTGCATTGATGTTTTGGAAAAAACAAAAGGCCTGAATGAAACGCCTGAGTAATGCAAAAGGTTTAAATTCTGTATTGAAAGTAAGCTAATTTTTCTTTCAATTTTTTTCCTTCCTTCCTTCCTTCATTTCTTTTGGCAAAGTATTCTGATGCTGAATATTATGAAAGAATGCATGAGTTATAATCCTCTATGTTGTGCTTGACTTTAATTATTGCATTTAATTTTTAATTAAATATAAGCTTGTAAGAATTATATTAATTTTATTAACAGTTAAATTTTAAGTTCCTTTCCTGTCAAATTCTTAACTTCAACCTATTACTTCTTGCCTGAACATAGTTTTGGAATTTTTATGAATACTATAATGAGGAGAAGTGCGGTATTTAAACTGCATGAAGTTCTACTGGTACAGAGTGAGAGAGAATCAGAGTTTCTGATTTACGCGTGTCTGCCTTTTGACCACTCTCTCTCTCAAAGCTGTTATTACGCTCGGCCATACTCAGGCCCTTGATAAGCTTTGTAGTTAAATAAAGTTAAGGGGCCCAATCGATTTGAATCTTGATAGCTTCGACTATATTTCTTTAGTTAATCTTAGTTTAATTTTTAGTCTCTTAAGTTCAAGCCCAAGTGTCGGCTTTGATTATACATTCCAAGACGGAGTTTTGTTAAATCTTATTGGAATAATAAAGGATTAGTTAAACTTCCATCTTGTTGTTTCTTGTCACACGAACTTAAGTGATTATTCGCTAACTAGTTCTTTAAAATTCGTCACTTTCTACAGTAACTGAGATTTACACTAGTGAGAATCTTACAAGCTAATAAGCAGCACATTAGTTTTAGTAATTTACTTTTGCTTCATTTAAAAACCCTCTTTGATCTGTTCTGTTCAGTAATCTCAGCATCTCCCCCTCCCTCCTTAACTTATAGAGAACTTGTGGTTTCAATTCCCAGTAAAAAGAAATTATATACAGTACTGCCAGTTAAAATGAAGTCTTTGGTAGGAAGACTTTTTAATTCTTATTCTTGGGCTGGGATATGATTTCTTCAAAAGTGAATAAAATAATTTGCTACCTAGTTCCCTGATATCTCTGTACTGTACTGAAGTGTTGAGCTGTTATTAGTCGTCCAGTATCACAAAAAATCTACAGTGTTGTATAGTGCAGTGTATACTTTTGACTGATTAATATTTGTGCTGACATTTTATTATAAATGTATTTCGGTGACTGCAAATATATCAGATGGTTCTCCTGGTATTACATGCTCTTTTCATGTAATTAAAAAGGGAAATTTATTTGGACTGATTTAGTTTTGCTATATAATCCATTGCTGAAGAGAATGTTAGTTTAGTATGTAAGTATTGTATAGCACGTTTTATCAGTTGGCAAAAACTTATTTTGAAACTTACTGAGGAAAATAAATTATAGTTATAATAATAATGCTTTGAGGATTCAAAAGAATTTTTTAAAAATCAAAATCATATGTAATTAGCAAATTTTTGTGTTTTCAAGTGGTGCCATAATTAATTTACCCTCGATGCGGCTAGACTGGAATTTTCGTAAAACACACCTGGAAACATTAACAGCTCAAAATTTACGTTCAGTCCAAATAAAAAATTCACAAATGATTTCTGATTTATTTTTTAAATTTGTATTTTTTGGTAATTTTTATGAATTTTTCAAAAAAAAAAAATTGAATTATAATCTAAAAAATTTTAAAGTAGATGTATTCTAGGCATGTCTGTAAAGTTTAGTTTTTTATTCAAAACTTCTAAAGTTATATGTAAATTTTTATTTTGGCTTCTTTTGAAATTTGACATATTTTTTATAAGCGGCATTATTTTAAACCTGGCAATTTTGTTAAAATTATTTGAAAGAATGAACAATGCTTCTTTTTCTGACTGTGCAAACCTAGAAAAGAGGAAAGAAAATAGGTTATTAAAAAGTAAGAATTTCACCACATGAATTATTCTTGGCACAAACTGATAAAATTTCGCCAAGATAAATTTTTGAATTTCTTTATAAGTTTTTCACTAATTTTATGGAATTTAATATTTGGGCATAATTTGTTGAATTGAAATATGGAAAAAAAGTGAAATGTCATATCAGAAAAAATCTGATTTTGTGTCAAAAGAGCTATGTTAGAAGAATGCTACATAGTATTCTTCTAATATATGTTAGAAGAATGCTTATATATAAGTCATACTTTCGAGACATGATATTTTATCAATTTGCACAGTAGAAGAGATACAGAACTGTCCCCCCTTTTTTTTGTTTGTTTTGTGTGCAACATGTACCTTTTCACTCCAGGTTCTCCACTGTTTTGTTTAATCAGACATGATATTATCATCAATAAAAATAAATAATTTACACCACATAGCAAAGAATGCAACATTAAATAGGCATTGATATAATATCCATTGTTCAACAATTGTAGTTTAGTAATCTATCAAATAAGATCCTTCTCTTATCTTCAAAAGTATACTTATAAAAGTACTTTTACTTTCCTCTTGATGCATCTCAATCCATTCACTCCAGATGAACTGATGTTTGGACTCTGACTGGTAAATGAATCAATGCTGATATTGAAATTCATTCCTACATTGTCCAGTCAATCTATCCATCACCACTAGAATACCTCACTGCAGTTCTCTACACAATTTCCATACAGATAATAAGTTTTTGAACATGTAATTTGTTGTACGTAGTTCAATTATTGATCCATCATTTAGTAGGATATCCTCATTCCTGAGCTGCAGTAGATTTGGCTGTTGGCTGGCCATGTAGCTATTTCATTTAGTTGTTACTACTTAATATGAGTCTTCTTGTACTGCCATAAAAAGAGAGAGTGACCTGAAAGTGTATAGTAGAACTTTGGTGTTTGTGAAGCTTTCTTCGCAAGCTTCTCTGTAATCCAATCCATGTGTAAAATCATTGAGATATGTGGCAATCTGATGTTCGACTGCGTGCGCAGCCAATCCACGCCATGTGGTTTATGTAAAAACTGCTAGTGCGGCAGTGAACTAGCTCTCTTCTCTCTTAGCTGGAGCATAGAATGTTTGAATTTTAGTTTAGTAGATTTTGTTATTTCATTCTGTTATTTCAGTTGTGTTTAAAGTTATGGTGTGTGTGAATAAAGGTTATGTTTAAGGAAAAGGAATCATGTCAATTCAAGGATATACACCAAGCCATAACCACCATGCCACTATAAAATTGTGACCCGGCGTCAATGACCGTCCGGCTACTCGCATGAAGTTTATATTCGTTGTTCGTTTAAGAGTTTGGTTCCAGAACTTTTGGGTTTTTTTTTTCCTTCAGCCACTGACACGGAGGAAACAGCAGCTGTCAAGATTCCATTTTACAATCCGATTGACCCGGCATTGTGGTTTGCTATGTGTGAAGCAACTTTTGCTTTAGCCACACCCAACTTTATTACAGATTCAAAGATAAAATTTAACTACTGCATCGCTCATTTGCCGCCGGAAATTGCTGCATTAGTTAGAGATATCATTCTCTGGGAACGTACAGATGCTTCTTACGAAGACCTCAAAGCTGCTATTATGGAACACTGTGGAGAATGCAGTACGAGTGAAATACGGAAATTACTCGCCGGCGAGCAACTTGGAGATAGGAAGCCATCAGAACTTCTTTGTGTAATGACTAGGTGGGTTGAAAAATACAATGTGCCTGACTCTTTGTTACTGGAATTATTCATGCACCAGATGCTGCCAAATGTCCAGTCTATTCTATTTTAGCGTCGGTTGAGCCGCTCAATTCATTGAAAGCTGCCAGTATCGCGGATAGAATATTGGAAGTTACACCCCCCAGGTAAGCGAAGTTTCTTCTCGTGTATCTCTCAATGTCTTCTGAGAATTCTAATTGGATTCCCTGCTGGAGGAAGTGTGCAAATTGCGGAGTGAGGTTTTGTCTCTATGATGATCACGCAGTTTTTCTAAAAATCGCTGTAACAGGAAGCGAAGCCCTTCAGCTAAAGCTGCTTCGAACTGTTCCTATTGTTGGTATCATTGTAAATTTAGAGACAAAGCTAAAAAGTGTGTTCCACTATGTACATTCCATGGAAAGTGTAGTGACGACATGCGCTTTACCCTCTGAATCTCGTTGCCTTTTCATTAGAGACAGGAAATCGAATAGAATATTTTTGTGCGACACTGGTTCAGATGTCAGTCTTCTTTCAGCAACCAGACAGGAAGTGCGTCAAACATCTATTATGACATTTTCTGCAGCAAATGGTGCCCCTATTCCAGTTTATGGGCAAAAAGTGTTAAGTATTGATTTTGGATTCGTCTTAATTTTACTTTTTATGTGTATAGTGTCAACAAATATTATTGGATCTGATTTCTTGCATTATTTTGATTTATTACCTGATTTAAGGAACAAAAAACTTGTTGATTTAAAAACACATTTAAAAATTAACTGCAGTGTAATTAACACACATTTATATTCTGTTAAAACAATTATTACAAATTGTATTCATGATAAATTACTGTCTAACTATCCTTCACTCTCAAAGCTTCCTGATCTCAATGAGACTGTTAAGCATAATACTATGCATTTCATTGAAAGCATTGATCCTCTTATTTCATGTAAGCCAAGGAGATTAGCTCCAGATAGATTAAAAATTGCTAAGCATGAAATTCTGAAAATGATAAATTTAGGTCGTATGCGACCCTCCAAAAGTAATTACTCCTCTCCTCTTTACATAGTGTCAAAAAAAGGCACAAACGAATTGAGTCCTGTGGGAGATTTTCGGAGGTTAAATGCTCAGACAGTGAGGGCTAAGTATCCTATTCCCAATATTTGCGATTTTGCAAACATTGGAAGAAAGGACATGGAACAAAGGTATTTTCTCAATTAGATTTGGTTAGAGCATATTACCAAATTCCAATTAATCCCTCTAATATCCATAAAACGGCTATTGCCACTCCTTTTGGACTTTTTGAGAGCACAAGAATGCAATTTGGATTATGCAATGCAGCTGCAAACTTTCAACGCTTTATTGATGAAGTAACTCGCGAACTGCCAGGAGTATTTGCTTTTGTCAACGATATATTGATAGTGTCAAAAGACGGAAATAAGCATTTGAGACACTTAAAAGCCCTTTTTGAAAGATTAAGTAATTATGGGTTAAGACTTAATGTATCTAAATGTAGTTTTGGTTTAACTTCTTTGGAGTTTTTGGGTTTTCATGTATCTGAACAGGGTTTAAAACCTTTACCCGAAAGGGTAGAAGCTATTCAAAAATTTCCTAAACCAAACACATAACCTCAGTTAAGGAAATTTCTTGGCATATTTAATTTTTACAGATGTTTTGTCCCAAGAGCTTCACATGTTTTAGCTTCCTTGAATAGGTGACTGAAAGGCCGCATTAATAAAAGGAAACCAAGCAAAACAAAAGAATATCCTCTCGAGTGGGACGACGAAGCCGAGAAAGCATTCAGAAATGCAAAAAAGGCAATTGCTGAGGCAACCTTTCTCAAACACCCAATTCCTGGTGCGACTTTGACACTTTGTACTGATGCATTGGAGGTTGCGGTTGGTAGCTCATTAATGCAACTGCTTAATTCAGTTTGGGAACCCATTGCGTTTCTATCTGTTAAACTCAGCAAAAGTCAAAGGAAATGGTCAAGTTATGATCGAGAACTATTGGCAATTTATTTGTCTATTAGGAAGATTCGGCACATGCTTGAAGGCAGGGTCTTTACAATCTACACTGACCAAAAGCCCATAATATATGCTTTTAAGCAGAAGCCCGAAAAGTGTTCTCATCTTGATTTTATTGGCCAATTTTCCACTGACATACGATACATCAAAGGTCGTGACAATATCGTTGCTGATGCCTTATCTAGGGTAGAAATAGATGCAGTATCTGATAATCAATACGTTGATTATAAAAAGTTATCCGAAGCACAAATTCAGGACTCTCAAATTCAAAATTACTTATCTCAATCTTCACCAGCTTTTAAACTTGAGAAACATTACTTTCCTTTAGAAGATGTTATTCTTTACAGTAATATGGACACAGGTATACCTCGACCGTTCATACCTGAACCTTTTCGCTCTAAAATATTTCAGAAGATTCACTGTCTTTCTCATGCTGGTATTTCAACTTCAACAAAGCTAATTACTAAGTGCTATCTTTGGCCTAATATGAAGAAATTTATTGAAACTGTAGTTCAATCATGTCTACAGTGCCAACGTTCTAAAATTCATAGGCATACGAAATCACCGTTGGGTACCTTTTCATTGCCTGATGCAAGATTTGCACATATCCATATTGATTTCATATGTTCTCTTCCACCGTCTGAAGGTAACCGATATTGCATGACAATTATTGACAGGTTTACCAGATGGCCAGAAGTCATACCTACTGTCGACATGTCAGCTCAGACGACTTGTAAAGTGTTAGTGCATAACTGGATAGCAAGATTTGGCTGCCCGGTATCAATAATAACGACTGATCAAGGCTGAAATTTTGAATCTCATTTATTTAAGGATTTAATGAAAATTTTGGGTACACATCGCATTAGAACTACTGCTTATCACCTTCAGTCCAATGGACTGATTGAGAGATTTCATAGGCAACTTGAAAGTTCAATAATGGCTCATAACAACCCAAAATGGACTGAAATCATGCCTATTGTTCTGTTGGGTATTAGATCTACCATTAAGAAAGATATAAATGATATAAATGATATAATGGTTCTACTTGCGCTGAAATTGTCTACGGTACTACACTTAGATTACCGTCAGATATGCTGAATGCTACAATTATTGTATCGCCTACTGAATCTTATGTGTCACAACTTCGATCAGTCATGCATTTAGTTAGACCTATTCCAACCTCTAGGCATATTCAATCACCAATTTATGTACATCCAGCACTTCAAACCTGTTCTCGTGTATTTCTGCGTATCGATTCTGTTAAACCACCTCTAACTCCACCTTACACTGGTCCTCATACCGTGGTTAAACGATTGGATAAAAATTTTATTATTGAGGTAAATAACAAAAAGATTGCAGTTACAATCGATTGTTTGAAACCAGCATATATGTTGTTAGAATGTATAAATTCACCTGTAATTCCTCAGTTTCCACAAGATGTCTGCGAAGACTAAAAAATTGTTCCAAAACAAGTAATTACCCGAAGTGGACGTCGTGTTCATTTTCCTGAAAACTAATTACTGTAATATGATTAAAGTTTTCTTTTGTGGTTTGCTGCAAATGTTACAGTGTATAGATACTTGATTATTATTATTATTATTTTTTTGTATACATATTGAGAGTTATATAAAATGCTTATTAACTCTTCATTATTTTTATTTAACTAAGTTATGCATTGTATGGGTATATATTCTAATCAGAATTGTAAATGTATTATTACTATTCGTATATTTGTATCTCTTTTTGTGCGTACAATTTTAAAGTATAACTGTTATTCGAATGTGCAAATCTTAAATTGGAAATTTACAGCCAACCCCTTTTGTGTCATGACTGTGCCACTGGGGGGATACTCTGTGGCAATCTGCCAATCTATGCCATGTGGTTTATGTAAAAACTGCTAGCGTGGCAGTGAACTAGATCACTTCGCCCTTAGCTGGAGCATAGAATGTTTGAATTTTAGTTTAGTAGATTTCGTTCTTTTATTTCAGTTGCGTTTAAAGTTATGGTGTGTGTGAATAAAGGTTATGTTTAAGGAAAAGGAGTCATGTCAATTCAAGGATATACACCAAGCCATAACCACCACACCACTATAGATGTGATTAAAATTTCATGCTAGCAGATTTATTCTTCTACAAAAGTTCAAAATTTCTGACAAAAACTGCTGTTGGTATTGCCAATTTCATTTTATTTTTTTGTGTTACTATACAGTTTCTAAAGGCAAAAATTAGAAATGCAAATCGGAAGGTGATTAGTTGAATTTCAGGAAGATAACTTTGCATAATGATAGTCATTCTTAAGTTTTGGAAATATGTATAATTTCCATTTGAAAAGCTAGCTTTTTAAAAAAAATTTTTTTCTCAAATGAGTGAACTATGTGTAAAAGCTATTAATGTTTATATGATTTTGCAGATGGATTCATATTGCTGGATTTGCCATGAATTGGGGCAAGATGAACTTTGTTCCATTTGCTGTAGAGTTTTTCATAGCAGTTGTCTGAGCAAAAAACTGAATTTTAACAATCAAAAGTGTCCAGAATGCCAAAAGAATACTATAGTTGGAAATGAAGTGTGTTTTACAGTGTCACAGGATAAACTTCAAAGACTTTTATCTTATGCTGTTACACAAGTATATAAAAGTGTGAATGTTCCAAGTGTATGTATATGGATTTTTATCATTTCTTTATTTTGTTTATCTTATAAGGTTGTAAAGAAAATAATGATCTCTTTCTTCTGCGCAGAACATGAAATGCACATTATACCATATCAGTCAATATTTGAAAAAAGTGTAGCTGTGAATAGTGTGATTATCACTCTGTAAGATAATATCTAACTGCTGATTAAAATAAGTTTTATTTTAATTGTCCTCTTTGAAAATGGAAAATGACTTTATTGAATTTTACATCTTGAATAATTGTTAATTATACTTTTAAACTGAAAATTAACTGAATTTCTTAAATGTTTAGTTGAATCTGGTAAAAGTATATTTCTGGTAAAATATATTATACCCCTTGCCGAAATTGGCGATTTTTGACGGTACATGGATACTGAGTTTGTGCAATTCTTTAATTTCCTATTTTGGCTTGTGTAGCGGCGATTTTAGCACCAAAAATTGCCGCTACACAAAGCCAAAATAACAAGAAAGAATTGCACAAACTCGGTATCCTTGAACACATCGACCTATTTTTACTTAAAAAAAAATCCCAGAATTGTATAAACTTGGCATTGTGCACTCCCTTGACTTTATCCATTTACACATCGACCTATTTTCACGTGGGGGGGGGGAAAATCATAGAATTGCAGAAACTAGGCATTGTGCACACCCTTGACTAAGTCCATATACACATCGAACTATATTCACTTAACCCTTTTACAGGCGGTGGTAAATATCTTACCACTAAGCAATTTGTTTTCTAGCAGCATACGGATAATTATTTACCAGTGCCCGATATCAGGAATTTTCCTCTGGAACCAGAGCTTCACATTTTCTGTAATGGATGGCTGTAGAGGCCACGTAAACCGCAACATTTCAGCATTCATCCAGTTTTCAAGCAAAATGGAGAGGGTAAGCACATACTCTTTTCTTATTTTATTGTGTGATGATATATAAAAATACGTTAAAAGCTATATATTCATATATTTTGTATCTTACAGTTTTAATAGCTAAATTGCATTAGGCATTTAAAAAATTATAGCGAAATATTTTGTTTTATACATATTTACATTTGGTGGTAAATTATTTACCACGGCACGCTTAGTGATTTTAGAGGTGGTAAATAATTTACCACTGCTTGATAGAAACACAGTTTTACTAATATGTTTTGCTTTAGAAATAGCATTTTATTTGGCATGGTACTTGATTTCTTTGTATATCTAATACTTGTATATTAGCATTTCAATAATTAATTTTTTCTAATGTTAATTATTATAAATATTATGGAAAATATTTTAGCGTTTATTTACGATTACATAAATACTTATGTATTTAGAAATTAGAATTAAAATATTACTTTAGAATGCTATAAAGGTAATATTTTGATAAGTATGTTCAAGAGATTTCAAAATATAAGTAACTAATTAAATGTAATGAATATAATTTTAGGTAAACGCATTGAAGAAAAAGAAAAAATATTAATCACCGAGGAAGCTGTAGAGCATTATTTTGCACTGCCTTCAGATCCTGAAGATTCCAAAAAAGGACTTCCTAACGCAAGAACTGCAGCCTTTTTGGGAAATCATAATTATGAAGGGGATCAATAAATTATCTTAGATTTGTACTGATCTTCTGACTCTTTTTTTTCAATAATCAAGAAATCTCATCAATTATGCCAGCGAAGAGATGAAAAAAAAAAAAAAAAAAAAAAAAAAAACCTTTTAAATTTGCATATCAATGGCAATCAAAAGGCTGTCCCTTGAAACGAGCCAGAATTTGACAAATTACAGTAAATGCATTCTTTGATCACCCATTTAGATAAAAATTCAAGAAAAATATTCAGACTTCAATCTATTGATGAAAAAATGGTAAAATTCAAAGGAAGGTCCACAATGAAGCAATATATGACAGGGAAGCCTGTAAAAAGAGTTTATAAGATTTGGGCTAGGTCAAACGCATCAATTGGTTACCTATATCAGTCTGAAGTTTACACTAGGAAAAAAATTTGAATTTAGGTTGAGAGTAGCTCGCAGCCTAATTGGAGGCTTCTCTAGTAAAAAACGAAAACTGCAATCAAACTGGGTATCAGCAAAAAAGGAAAATGATATTCCAAGGGGAAATCCGAACAACTAATGTTAGAACACACATGCCAGTCATAGGAGAAAGTTACAGAAGTTGCAGCACAAAAGTATGCAGCACAAAAGTAAATCAGAAACGTACCAAGGTGTTATGTTCAACATGTCATGTACCATTCTGTATTGCTTCATGTTATAAATAAAAATTAAAATCAGTAGAAATAGTGCATTTGGTTATATTTACGTCTATAATCACTTTTATATTAATCATCGATTTTATATTATATGTATATTTAAATAATCAAGAATAAATAGTTTTCATCAAAAATATAATCAAAAATTTGTGATATTTTTGTAATTATGATTTCTTCTTTTGCACAACTCAGTAAAATGTCATTGCTTATACTGGGCGGTGGTAAATATGTTACCATCCCTATTATAGACAACAACAGAATTCCAAAAATAGTATTTTTGGTCAAAAACGAGCTACTTTTCCCTAATAGTTGCATAAAATATGAATTTTGAACAAACAAACAAACAAATATATATATACAATCTCAATAAACTACATTTTAAATCAAACGATGAAATAACATAAAAAAAGAAATTCATCTTTGCACTAGACAATGGAAATACCCACTTACCTTATTTACGAATTAATACGTCTTCAGTCAAACACAATTCCTTAACAGCATCCAAAAACTTCCTAAAATTATCTGAACTAGAATCTGTATACTGGCGTTGCCAAATAAATTCACAAAATAAGAAAAAAAAAATCATCCGTACCGCCGTTATTGTCTGACCATATGTATTTCCTTCCTACAAACAGGACACTCAATAATGGCTACTAAGTAAACCTTCATTTATACACCAGTCAAGTAATGCTCTTCTCCCCTTTCTTTCCAAATCTTACAGAAACGTCAAATTAATCTTATCACATTCAGTCATTTTACCATCTAAACCAGAAAACAAACAATGTACTTCCTAACCAACAGACAGCACAAGCCCTTACAAATTCACCGTAATCATGCAACCGTTTACGTCGTAATAGGGTTTCCATAACATTCAGTTACTCAGGGTACCATAAATAAACCGCCACTTGTCAATAAATGAAACAACAACTTTGCGACAATACAGGAGGTACCTTTCTCTCTAATCAAATCTTGAATCTTTATTCAAAAATTAATATTGAAGATAATCAGCAGTTGGAAGGTTAGGATTTATTGTTTAAATTCATCATTTATATTCTTTGAGAATAGATTTTATATGGGCTTATTTACAAATTATATAATTATTTATCATGTGTGTTATCTTTCCTTTTTAAAAATTTATTAATATTTTTAACTACCTAGAAGCGTATTTTTTAAAAATCAGTTCTACTTCATATTTTCAATGAGGTTTTTCGTAGTCACTCAGTTGTTTGCTTGAGAATTGTGACTGATCGGTTGAGAGAATAAAAATTTGCAACTGCTCATTGTCGTGGAGCAAAAATCTTGATTTGTTCAAACTTTCTTAGGCTTCTCTTCAGAAATCTGCCAAAGTATCAAGCTCACTTTGTGTCCATGATAAAAATTCTTTTGAGTTATAACCCTTTTAATTGAAAAAAGGATTACTAATATTGTGTATATCCGACACCAAAGTTACTGTGACCATGGCGAGCCCTCTCGAACCCAAGCAGATGACTGCCGTTTTGTCTTTTGATTACAATCATCAACATATTCCTGTCCTTCACAATATCTTTTGTACCAGCAAGAACAATGGAGGGAGGATGGGAGTTCAACATATCAGAAATTTCTCGAGGCATCTATGCCTGTTACATTGCTTTGTACCCGGTCTCGGTGATTTAAAATCATGAAACATTTATCATAAATGCAGAATTCAGGCAGCAAAAAATGACAGACTCATAGAAAGAAACATTTAAATGAAAAAAATGTGTTTTTCAAAATTCTTGAAATCGCAGAATTTAGAAAAGCATTTGTTATGCCTTTTGTTTGTATTGTTTTATTTTAAGAAAGTCTTTCATAAAACTTGTTTTGGAGTCGCTTTAGAAAAATTAAAATGCACGTTTGTAATTATTTTTATATTTATATTTTCAGTGTTTATGGAGATGGCCTAGTACTGAAGAGAATGATAAATTAGGGCAAATAATCGATGGAGAGATTCTTATTGATGTAAGTTCTTTCAACTTTATTGAAATTACTGCTGAAAGAGGAGTGCAAAAATTATATGAATTTTAAATAATTGCTCCAGAAAGCTGTTTGTTTCTATCATTAATCTTGTTTCTTAAATATTTGTTTATTTATTAAAGACTGAGTTAATATTATTTAATTATCTTAATAGTCTCTTGTTTTCCTATTAAATAGTTCTTCTGTATCTCATATTTAATTGCTTAGTTGGGCAGTTTTTATTTAATAGCTAATTGTTTCGAGTTCAACAATCAAGAATGTAAGATCTGATACATCTCACTTCACATTACAGATTTTGTACTGAGGAGAATTTATAACTTTGCATCACTGTCAACTCTTATTTTATCAGGTTTCAGTTTTTGTCATATTTTCTGGTTTAAAATTTGTAGCCTTTGCTAAGGAAAATGTGTAAGAACAATAAAAGAAGTTTAAAAAGTGCAAATTCCAGTCCCCCACCCTAGCGATTATGAGCGTGATTTTCTTACTAAATTTGATTTGATCTCAGTTGTTTTAATCGACTCTTAACATTTATGCGTATGAAAATTTAACCAGTGTTTAATCAGTTTATATTTAAATTTTATTAAATGGTATATTACTCAGTTTATCCACACATTATGATGCGTATTAAATGTTAATTTTATTTTCTTTATGGTAAATAAAAGCTTTTCTTTCTTACTCATGATTTTTTCAGTATGAAAACGTGAAGAAATTACAAAATGAGATAGTCTAGAGGACGTAAAATTAGAATACCGAATTAAATATATAATAATCTTTTTCATCTGAATCATTCTTTGGCAGTAGCTAGCATAGCAGGCTAATGCAAAACCCTCTTAGAAACTTCCGGGTTTTCATATTCCGAGATTGGCAGCTATGCTGTTATCCACTTTGTTAATTTTTTTATCTGTTAGAATTAAAATTTAAATCTACAGATAGAGATAGAAGCCTTGATGTCAAATTCTTTTGCACATATTTTTAAATTAGTACTTTTTAAAAATCTTTTGTTATACATAAATAATAATTTATAAGATTTCTTTATCTTGTTTATTACTAAGCTTTATTTTCCTCTGGGAAATATGCTATAATTAAACAACAATATTAAAAAATTATTTAAATTTGCTCTAAAATATCATGAGTTATTTCTTTCATTGAAAATCCTATATTTTAGTGTTCTAAATGTTTATTTATATATTCTCATTTTTGTGCAAGTCTGAGGTAAGTTAAGCTAAAATCATCTTGTTTGGTACCTGTATATTAGCCAATAATTACCAATACGTTACCAAAAATAGCTATTCAATCCTTGATTCCTGTGAGATTTGAGAGTTGTTTTGGATTCTTCTAGGAAGCTCCTCCCCAGCGTAGTTCATATTGTCTTTTTTTAAATTTCAATATCAACATCCAACCAGTTAGAGCAAGTACTGAATGCATCACATAATTTTGATAACTTTTCTCGCTCATAATTTTTAGGATAACACTTGTTCATTCGATATTAATTTTTTACAACATTTTGCATCATGTATTTATACACTTTGTCAAGGTATAAAGCAAAAGCAATCTGTTACTTATCGACATACAGTATTTTGCCAAAATATCATAAGTGTTCACATTTTTATTGCGAGATATAATATATGATTGAAATGCAACATCAAAGACTATCAATGAAGCACTAGAATAAAAACTTGAATTTGGTTTCAGAGAAGTTGCATTCTTACTTCATAGTGTTCATTTAGAAGCAGAGATAAGCTGTGGAGATTAAGCTTTTTACTCTCTCTTCCCAATTTTTTTTTTTTTAACGATCTAGAATTGTTTGTAAAGATATTTTACTTTAAATTATCACAAGTAAAATTTGCAGTCTCATTTTAATTTGAATAATTTTATCTTCAGAAGCATATTATAAATAACCAAAACAATGCTTATTTTATTAATAACTAATGCTCATTTTATTTATAATAACTTATATTTTATTAATAAGCACTAGAATAATATTATAATGATAAATGAATGTAGTTTGTTATTTTAATTCAGTATTTTAAAATATTGTGTAAGTATATTCTGTGATGGTTTTAAAAATATGAATCTGAGTTTTATTGAAAAAATGTTTACTTATTATGTTTTTCTAATTTTAACTCTTTTAGAAGTTAAATGGGGACAAGAATCATTACAAAACTGTTGCAGCTTTCTATTCTGACGTTAAGTTTTTATTGCATAATAGTCACATACTATATGGAGGTAAGCTCTAAAAGCAGTGCTTTAAAATTTTCTAGTACATTGCATTTATTTATTTGCACTAGGTAAGGAAATAAAGTTTGCAAATCAAAGGCATTTTTAAGCGAAAAGAAAAAGAAGGGAAATGGGAAGTTTGAATTTATTTTGCCCTGCTTTCGAGATGCAGGGCAAAATAGCATGTGATGCAAATTCTAAGCCTCAAAATTCATGCTTCAATTTTATGAAATGAATATGGGAATTTCTGTAGTGTGACCAATGAAGATTTATGCCGCAGAAGTATATAATTTAATCATTAGTTGAAAATTTTCCTTTCTGAAACTTTTAAATAGGTTAAATTTAAATTCTGATTAAAAAAAAAAAACTGATTTTCTCCCCCCTCAATTATGTAAGATAAATTATGGCTGAAAGGTGATGACTGGATGATTTTCAACAACAATGGCTGTTTTTAGATTGAAGCAGATGAGTCAATGAAAGAGATCACTGTTTTCTTTGGTCTTGACCACTGGGGATCTTCTTGTGAACCGATTTACTTTATTGAGAGAGCAAACCATGATCTCACAAAATTGAGCTCTATCTGCTTCGGGATATTAATAGTGTGCAAGGAAAGTTAGTTCTCATATTAGTTCTCATTTTTGGAGAGGAAAAAGACCTGTTTGTTAGTTCTATGTAGAAAGGTTTCAGGGTATCTGAAAACTACTTTTGAAAGAAATCAATCTAAGGTTAGAGGTTTGATTCAGTCAGTTCTTCCGATCCCACTCCTCATTTCATTATTTTTGCTTGTTGCTGTATTCTTGTTTACTGCTCAATGATCCAAGAGTGGTGTAAATCAAGAAGAGTCACTCCTCTTGATTCTTGTTCATAATTGCTAATGAGCACTAAGTAGGAAAAAAAAGTCTCAGTTTATTGAGCAAATAGCTTTGATCTGATCCCATGAGAATGATTTCACCCACCTCGGCTGAGTATTTGGAGGGGGGAAAAAATAGTGGGTTGACTCTTAGACCAAAATCTGGAAGGCTTGCTTAGTAGCCAGAGGATTATTAACAAAGTTCAGTTGTAAGGGTTATTAGGGAGGCAAAATAGTCTTACATTTATGCTAAAATGAACAGTTCCTGAGATAATCAAGGCTAAAAGAATTTTTTTTCTTTTTTTTTTAAAGAGAGACAGATTAGGTTTGACGTTTAAAGGCGTGGCTTAAGACTAAAATTTTGTGTCTTGCTAGTACCTAGTGAACTCAAAGAGGGTTGATTATTGTAGCAAAAATTAATTGTGAAGTGTGTTGAAGGTCTAGGTTTCATACTCTTCGAGATAATTGAGGTGAATTACAGGATGTAAAACTTGTTTTCTTAATGCAGGAATATATAAATGTTTGGTAAAAGTATATTTACAGGAACCCCTTGGCGAAAATTGGCTGATTTTGCTGGCACATGCATAGAGTTTGTGCAATTCTTAGACTTGTTATTTTGGTTTTGAGTAGCGGCAATTTGAGCACAAAAAATCGCTGCTACACAAAGACAAAATAACAAGTCAAAGAACTCCACAAACTCGGTACCCATGTACACATTGACCTATTTTTCACTTAAAAGAAATTACATAATTGCACAAACTAAGCATTGCGCACGCCCTTTATCATGTACACGTCAACTTTTTTTGCTTAAGGAAACATCAGAGATAATTGCATAAACTTGGCATTGCACACTCCCTTGACTTTGTCCATGTACACATTGAACTTTATTCACTTAAAAAGTCAAAGGAGCAGCAAACAAACAAATATATATATATACAATCTCAATAAACGACATTTTAAATCAAACGATGAAATAACATAAAAAAAGAAATTCATCTTTGCACTAGACAATGGAAATACCCACTTACCTTATTTACGAATTAATACGTCTTCAGTCAAACACAATTCCTTAACAGCATCCAAGAACTTCCTAAACTTATCTGAACTAGAATCTGTATACTGGCATTGCCAAATAAATTCACAAAAAAAAAAAAAAAAAAAAAAAAAAAAGAGTAAAAAAGATCATCCGTAGCGCCGTTATAGTCCAACCATATGCATTTCCTTCCTACAAACAGGACACTCAATAATGGCTACAAAGTAAACCTTCATTTACAGAGCAGTCAAGAAATGCTCTTCTCCCCTTTCTTTCCAAATCGTACAGAAACTTTAAATTAATCTTGCCACATTCAGTCATTTTACCATCTAAACCAGAAAACAAGCAATGTACTTCCTAACCAACAGACAGCACAAGCCCTTACAAATTCACCGTAATCATGCAACCGTTTGCGTCATAATAGGGTTTCCATAACATTCAGACTCAGACTACCATAAATAAACCACCACTTGTCAATAAATGAAACAACAACTTCGCGATAATACAGGAGGTACCCTTCTCTCTACTCAAACCTTGAATCTTTATTCAAAAATTAATATTGAAGATAATCAGCAGTTAGAAGGTTAGGATTTATTGTTTAAATTCATCATTTATATTCTTTGGGAATAGATTTTATACGGGCTTATTTACGAATTATATAATTATTTATCATGTATTTTATCTTTCGTTTTTAAAAATTTATTATTTTTAACTACCTAGAAACTCATTTTTTAAAAACCAGTTCTACTTCATGTTTTCAATTTATGATTAATTTTTGAGGTTTTTCTTAGTTACTCAGCTATTTGCTTGAGAATTGTTACTGATCGGGCAAGAGAACGAAAATTTCAACTGGTCCTTGTCGTGGAGCAAAATTTTTTAGCAAATTGGTTTAAAAATTTTCATTCATTCATAAGGTTCTAATCATTGCAATTTATTTTTGGGAATGCTCATACAGGGCAGGGGATATCATTGATAAATTTTGATCTTTTTCAATTTAGGAAGGTTTCTGATTTCATTGTTTCTGGCATTTCTGTGTATTCCTTCTTTTTTGACAATTTTTTTATTTAAATCATGTAATTAATCTCCACCATTATTATTATTATTATTTTTTACAAATGGTGGGCACTTGCCTATAACGGCATTGGCCACTTCTAAGGCCAGAAGCGGTGACCATTTTATTATGGAGGCACGTAAAAAATAAGGTGGCCACTGTTACCTCCTATGAAGGGACAGACAGTTTTACATGCACGCCTTCTCCGGGATTTGAACACGGGCCCTTTGGTATCGCAGTCAGGCTCCCCTAACCACTATACTGTCTGGGCGGCTCTCTACCGTTATTTTAAAGTGTATTTAGTTTTTCATTTTTTCCCCCTTCATATGTGAATTTTTGACACTTTTTAATCCATAAAATGGTAATGAACTCAGAATAAGTTATACATATTTAGTTATAGTTGTTACCAAAAAGTAGTTTAGTTTGTAAATACAGTGGTCATCAGAATAAAAGGAAAATGAGAAAAAAAAATATGTTTACTAAGTTAATGTTGTGACCATTGCTCAGTGCTGTAATTAATTATCTTCATTAAGTACAACCGAACACAAAATTGCTCTTCAGTGAATGTATTAGCGACGGAAATATGCAAATTCGGTGATTAACAATGTGGTGCACAATGGATGCATGTTGGAATTCCGATTTGTAGTATTTTGTTTCTGACCGTGAATCAGTAGTGATAGCTCATAGTCATCGTTTAAGTGAAGGTTAAAAATGGTGAATATCTGGCAGAATTGTGGGAGGTGTCATCCAAGATTTGAATATCTCTCAAAGTGGTGTAGTAGCAAGAGTTTGCAGCTGCTTTGATCGATAGACAGCCTGGTCAAGGTTGACCATTAGCAGCAACTGCATCAGAAGACCGTTTTTTATCATTGTGCCTTAAAGAAACCGCAAAGTGACTACAGGAGATTTGGTTTTTAGACCTTCAGGCTGCCACAGGAACTCAAATTAGCCACTCTACTGCTGCACAAAGGCTTAATGAGGTTGGATTTTATGCAAGGAAACCAGTGGTTTGTGACCCACTCACTCCACCTTCTGGAGGAGCTTCTGATTAAACTGGTGTTGTCATCATGTTCAGTGGAGCCGACAACTGGGTACTGTTTACTGACAAGTACTGTTAACTAACAAGTCCAGACATAGTCTTAACAGTGATTCTAGATGTGTTTTGATCTGGGGAGAAGAAGCAACATGCAACTTGCCTTCCCTTGTCCATGAAATAGCCTGTTTCCACAACTGCAGTTTAATGGTTTGGGGAGGAATCATGACAGATGGCCGCATTGAGCTGCATATCGTAAAGGATGTTCTGTAACCACTCGGAGATATGTGAATGAGGTATTGGAATTTCAAATCTCTCAACACTGTTTAGTGCTGCTGCTGGCCCAGAATTTTTGCTAATGGATGATACTGCTTGTCCTCATCGAGCATATAAGGTGTTAGAATACTTGCAAACAAAAGATAACACTCGAATGGATTGGCTATCTTACTCACCAGACTTGAACCCGACCGTATGTGGGATGCTTTAGGGTGCCGAATTTCCCCCCAGATCTTCCAGGAGCTGAAAAGTGTAATTTCAGAATAGCAGCATGCAATTCCACAAGACTTGATCAACTCTTTGGTAAAGCCTATGAATTTAAGATGTGAAGTATGCATATCTGTCTGAGGTGACCTTACACCATATCAAGAAATTTTTTTTCCACAAGAGGTGACTTAATTTTTCCCATCATGTTCCATTTTTCATAAACTTGTTTTAATTTCAATATTTTGAAAATATTCAACTGCCAAACATTGTAATTTATGTTAACTAATGCTTTTGTACTAATTTCTATTTAAAATCTTTCATTAAGTCTCAATTATGTATTATTTCTGTCATTGTCCTTTAACTGATGACCATTGTGTAATTATTTAATTAAATGGAAGAGAAACACAGAAATACAAAATTTTAAATTGGACCAAAAAATCAACCTTATTCTTCATGAGCCTAAGTGCTTTATTTGACTTCAGAACAAGAGACACCTCAAAATTAATAGTACTATTTAAAACCTCCATCAAATAAAGCTACTTTTTGATTTAATTTTGAATATTTATGTAACAATTAAAAAAAAATGTGCATACTTATTTTGTAAGTAATGTATTATTTTGGTTTTTATCAGTCTCTTGCAATTTATCACCTCAAAATCTTTTATTTTCCTAAATGCGGTTTGTCATTAATGCCTGCTTTGCCACCAGCCTTTGATACCGCTTTTTAAAAAATTTGGTGCATGCAGTGTTCTCTCCATGGGTTTTGGGTATGATTTCTTTTTTTTAGCTTAAAACTGAATTATTTTCCAAGTTCGTCTGCTGAATTTTTAAGACATTTAATTATTGTTTTAAAAACCTGCAGAACCGTCAGCCTATTTCTTCGCCATCTGATGAACTTCTGCAAAAATTTACCATGGCTTCCCATGCTTCAGCTTTTTTTTTTTTTTTTTTTTTTTTTAATATGACCTTTTATTTAGTTCACGTGTGCTTGTCACTATGGGCAAAAGTTTGTCGTATGTTTTTTGAGAAGTTATGTTTAAATTTTGTACACATTCTGTAGATAATAAAACAATGTGGTGAAGTCGTTTTTTTTTTTTTTTAAGAATTCAGTTTAGATTTTTTTCAAATTTAATGTTGAAACAATTTTTCGTGCATATCTTGGTTTAATAAACAAGCTTAAAGATCTCAGAATTTTACTGTTTGCATCGAATAAAATCTTTTAAGTGAAATTTGTATAAATTTTTTAACATAATGTCTTATTTTTTGGTGAATTTTTGAAAATTGCTGGATTTTTTCATCTATTTGGGATGTATGATTTTTAAATTTCAATATCTAAAAATGTATATGCTGTGAAATTTGGAAAATTTTCACAGATTATAAAAAAGCTTTTTGCCTTCTTTTAAAACAAGAATGATAAAAATATATTAATTGGTTGATTTTGTACACTTCTTTAAAAAAAGTATCCTGAAGATATATAAGGGGAAATTGCCTTGTGGTTTTTCTGTGAGATCATGTGATTTGGTCAGAGTTATGTCATTATACTTCACTCTGTGTTGTCTGAAGTATAATGACCCACGTTGCTATCTCTAGTACTGATTTTATTTATTTAAACTCTTTTCTTCTAGCTAAAAGGAATTACAAAGGAACTAAGCGTACTATGCCGTCTAACATTTCATAATTTCTTCTTTTTTATGCATAGATTCTATATTGATACATAAAAAAATATTAATTAAGCAACTTTCTAGATTTTTTTTTTAATGATGACAGTGTAACATTGAAAAGATCTTTTTTTCAAAGTTCTATTTAGACTTTTTTAATATTGAAATGATTTTTTGCACATATGTTTATTTAATGAACAAACTAGAAAAACCAAGAATTTTCTGTTTGTACCATCAGATAGCGGGTAGAAAAATCTTTTAAATGAAATTTATATAAGTTTTTAAGTATTCTCATTTTTTGGCAAAATTGCTGGATCTCTTTGATGATTTGATGTAACAGAATTGTTGGAAGCGTGATTATTCATTATTGGAAAATGAATTTTCAATTGAATAATTCGACTGATAATGTGTGATTGGTACTAAAAATATGAAAAAAAAAATCGTTTTTAAAGTAAGCTTTTGTTTAGAGCTCAAAAAAGAAATAAAATAAAAAGCAGAAAAATAATTTATCATTTAGTTTAATGGGGGTTAAAAATTCTCTTTATAAAATTCATCATAATAGTGTGAGGTGCCCTGATATATTTATAAAGCTTATGGCTTATATTTTTGACTATGCAAACTCTATTGATAGATTTTTGTTATTTAAGCACCCACAGTGCTGCTGCAGGAATAGGAGGTGGTATTAGTAATAAAAACAGGAAGCATTTTTATTTTATAATAAATAACTCTGCATTGCCAAATAAAGAGCATTTTGAAAGGATTTCAGTATAGTAATTTAATTTTTTCTTTACTAGTTTTTATGTATTTAATTATTTAAGAAATAATTAAAACATATAAAAGATAACCTTGCTCACCACCTGTGTTTTATGAGTCTTCCCCCCAAAAAGAATTGTTTTAGGAGATGGAGTATTTTTTTTATAAAAAGTGATTTTATTAACAGTACAAACATTTGGGTGTTTCTGAAAATAGTTTTCCTTTGCATAATTTTAAATACTTTAAGGATCGAATTTTACTTATCTTTATAATTTTTGCCTACATTCTGTCTTTGTAAGTTATCAAATTTTGAATAAACTATTATGTTAAAAGAGGATATTTCTTTGAAGGAAACTCTAATGAAGTCCAAGGTGCTAAGAGATTGTTGAAAAGCTTTAAAACTGAATTGATGGATATTGAAGCTTGTCCGGAATGCTATGAAAATAAAATATCTGAAGTGCGTTTCCTGCCCGACTTCTTCTCAAGAATATGTGTAAATATTTTCCTCAAGATATTAATGTTGAGATTTGTAAAAGTATTACAGATATATTCATTGATGCTTGTTTTCAAGATTTTAATGTATGCCCTTTTTTTTTTTTTTTTTTTTTTTTTTTTTTTTTTTGTAGAAAGATCCACACACTATTATTTGGGCAAAACTGAAGGGTTTTCCTTATTGGCCAGCAAAGGTATGTTAAAAAGAATTTTGAAGTACACCCAGCCTTCCAGCTCTATATCTCCTGTTCTGCTGGGCCGATGGGCAAAATTAAACTTGTGTTTTCCATGTTTTGAAAGCATGACTTAGGATATATATTAAACTTATATTTAGCTTTATATTGACATGGTTATTTTGACACAAAATCGGACTTCGAGTATGATTTAAAATGTTACAGTTCTTACAGTTAAATTCTTACCGTTTTTGACAATATCATCTTAGTGAATGGAAGCTCATGAAAACTGAAATTAAAATAAATAATTATAAAATTTAGGTAATAGAAGCTATTTAAATACAGGTTCTCATGAGCAAATCTAAATAGCCATGGCACTAGTGTTAGCATTTTGTTCAGATCTGCGTTGCCCTTTTACTTTTGTCCAGTTCAGTGTGCAAGTTTTTACACCATTTTTGAAATTCTTTTTTTGCTGTCTAGATTCCTTTGGAAGCTATCTCTTATTTTGATTGTCCTCTATTTGGTTGTAAGGTTTAGGTCTCTTTTCAGCTCCAGTAAAATTTAATCATTTCCCAGGCATGCTGGTTCTTAAATGGCTTGGCTTAATGTTGTATTTTAAGGCATTTTTCATTACCTGTTCCTTTGGACTATTTTATTTTTTTAATTTACTGCTCCTTCTCATCATCATTGGTGGTGCCCTGCTATTTCCATATGCCTTGAATTGCTTTGTATGTGTCTTTTGGGTTACTTTTATTTTGCACGTAGTGGACCTTGTTTTCTTATTCCTGTTTCTGCCTTCTCAACCTTTTTTTTTTTTTTAATTCTCTTTTCACATTTCCTGCTTGATTTAGCGTTGTCTTTGGCTGATTTATTGTAGACTTTTTCTCGAGTTATTTTCTGCAACCTCTTCATTTGCATCACTATTATCCAGCACCCTTGGCAATATGGGCAATACTTCTAATTGATATTAAAGCAAGTTATTGCTTTCATTAGTCCTTACTGTGGTCACAAGATACAGTGCAAAAGTGTTCAAATTAATGTAAAACTTATTCTTTGCATCTAGTGAGACTTAAGTAATACAAAACAACTTATCACTATTGTGGTTTTTTTTGGAATCTTGAAGTATTTAAATGTGTTGACACTAACTGCATCAGACAGACAGAGCACAGCTAACTTTGAAAATTTCCCAACCATGCCTATATCAGGCTTTCGGGTTTGTTCTGATCAGCTGGTCTCTTCTAGGCAAGCAGTGCCAGTGGTAACAGCCTGTCTTTTGTAATGAATCATGTTGATTATAATTTTACTTTTCATTTTAACCTATGCTGTTTGACGTAAAATTTACCTATGTACTAAACCTCTAGATTGAGCAAATACGTGACAAAGTGAAACTTAAAAGACAAAAATCAGCATTAAATAAAATGTCACTAATCTTGTTTTGATTTTATTCTCAAATTTGTTTTAATTATGTTTAATAATACATGTGTCCTACTTATTGATCGGTTTTATTCTTAGGATGGTATTACAAAAGTGAAATTCAAGAACAGATGATTGAATTTATTCATTTACCATTTGCTTATAGATTTTTAATTACTTTCATTAATGGTCTCCTTAAATATCTTTAATTTCCATGTGCAGAAATTAATATGGACCCTGAATTACGATTCTAGAATTTTTGAAAATTTAATACAACCCTATAGTTATACAAATTATGCATACCTACAATAACATAATCTCTACTTATCTGCATCGCAAGAAAAACCCTGGCTTGCTTTTCCTAAACTTGGAAAACTTTTGGAACTTAAACATCATTAACTTCACCACAGGGTACCTCATTTTCTTAATGCAACAAATTAAAAACTCCTTTATATATGCAGTTGGTTTCATTTCGTAGGTCATTCTCCAAACCAGAACTCAAATTTCTCATCTCCCCTCATATAGTCTCAAATCCCTGAAGTCTTTAGGTATGTGTGCAAACTCCTTGGACACAGATGTCCACAGCTCATAATTTCTGCAAGTGTTGTTATTGCGTCTGTTGCAGCTCACTTTCACACAGACATTTTTTCAAAAGAGGAGAGAGAAAAAAAGTTTGGCAAAAAAGAGGCACAACACCTTTATTATGTAGCTGTCTGGTAGAATTAATGAGGCTATTTGAAGAATAAAAGAAGAAAAAATTAAAACAAACTTCTCTCTGTTACAGATGATATGTGAAGAATCAAATTACAGTTGTATTTCTGTATTTTTTGTTTCTTTTTGTTATGTCAAAATTTTTAATAGCTTGTGTTTCTGAAATATTCTAGTAATGCATGGAAGTTGTCTCTTTTTCAGTCATTAAGAATTGTTGAGGATGCAGCTGACGTAAGATTCTTTGGAACACATGATAAGTAAGTGGTGCATCATTCCTGAAGTAAAGTTTTTTTAGACTAATTCTATCTGTGTTTTTTCTCTTAATATTTGATGTGAAAATTATACTTTTTCTCATGTCAAGAGGAAATAAATACATACCCACAATAATTTAAATAGTATTTTTTGTTGAAGTCGTGGTAGACAAGCAAATCTACATATTCAACCTCTGAAATAAATTGCCTCTCTCATCACAAATGTAACAATTTTTTTTTAGTTTTGGTGTACCAAATTATATTATGATTCTTTGAGCGTAATTTGTTCTTTTTTTAAAGCTAAACCTTTTGCTTTTGGAGTTTTCTGCTTGTGAGATTACATTTTCTTCTTAAATTATATGGTGTAAGCAAACTGTCACCCTGCTTTTTTCCAGTATGGCATTTTGTTTCATGATCTAGTGTGTTGCACATTTTAATTGAAGACAATTATTTGTCTTAATGAGTTGAGATCTTAAGCCACATTTCAGATTACGATAGCAGTCAAAAATTGCAGTTGAGCATGATGCAAATTGAACAGAAGTCTCGTCTTGAGATTTCTGTGCTTTTTTAAATCTGTATATTATATGTTTAGAAGCATTGAGAAATACATCTGTTGGTCATATGTGTTGGTGCCAAGCTTCCCTCCAGACAAATTTATGAGAGATCTATAGGAGTTGATTGAAACTTTTTAAATTTTAAATCCTTTACCTTGTCATTATCCTTTAACTCTTCCTAACTGTCAAAAACCACAAAACACATTTTGCTCTTTTCTCTTCAATATATTTATCAATACTCCTGCTTTCAGTTCCTCTAGAATATTTTTATTTCAAAATGACCTCTCAATTGAGGGGTAAAATTCAATACTTCTGGTTTTCCCAGGATGGGTTTAGGTTTTAGGTTATTACAGCAAAGCACTCTAGTGCTATTTGCCTAAGGTGAAGGAAGACTTCTAAGGAAAATTGGCTTTTATACATGTTACACATGGAGAAAACACCCATGCAGCCAGTCCGTTCAAATGGATTTGAACCCATGTTGGAATTGTCAGTTTCTGGGGATTTTACTGCTTAGCCACTGGTAGGCTGTCCCCAGAAAGCAAATAGTTGTTGTTTTAACATTGATTAATTGTTGCTAATTAGTCCTTGGATGATCATTTTCTGATATTCTTGAAGTTAATTGAGCACAATGGTTCTTAGTAATTTCCATTTCAAACTCTTTTTGTACCTGAACCAGTTTTAATTTTTTTTTATTTTCTTTTGCCAAACCATTAAGTAAGTTAACAATGAAGTCACTGTCCTTTTTAAAGACATCTGAGTTTTCTATTAGGTTTCGAAACTCTAATACTCGTGGACTAGCAGGCATATCTAGGCTTGTTTCCTCTCATACTTTTAAAATCACAAAGATCATCTTTCGTGATTTTGCAAACATATTCACTAATTATTTAAAAAAAAAAAAAAAAAATCTACATCTTCCTCTACATATTTTTTGGGCACTCATCTCCATCTACATATTTTTTGGGCACCCTAATCTCTTGGGTCCCCAAGTTTTCAGCTTGGAAATAAGAACTTCAAGGTTATAAACACAACACATTTATTTTTAGATGATCAATAAAGTTATGGTTAAATGGAGAAATGTAGACGAAGAGTTTATGTATATGAATGCATTACAAGAAGTTGGGTGCCTACTTGCGCTATTAAATGAAGGACGAAACTGAAGCGTTTGGAAGCTACCTGCTTGTAACCCCTAGACGATGGGATCTCAAAGTTTTTTTATCATGCCTTATCACTGCCATAAATGAAAATTCCTGTCATAATAATGTTACCTGCCTATTAATGTAGCAAGAACAAAAAACATAATTTATTAAGGTTTTAATATAGAAATGGGCTATTTCCGCACATGTATGGTATAGAGAGAAAAAATATTTCAGTGAAATGGATGAGCTTGCTTTTTTTTGATAAGATTTTCAATTATTGGTTGAATAGAAGAAATTGTCCAATGCAAATTACTTGCAATACTGAATTTGTTTCTATACTTCGTTTTTATTGCTACAACTGCTGAAAACGCCCTTTTGCACAAGTAAACACTTTGAATTAATAAGTACAGTTATAGTGCTTGCTGAGTAACGTGGGGATAAATTTTGAGATATTTTGCTCAAAATAATGGCTTATCCATTTTCTCAAAGTTGCATTAGGCTGCAGAATCATTTTTTAATTTCGAAAGCTTGCTTTTGTTGTTTCTCTCAGCACATCTATATTAGCATGAAAAGGGTTCATCACCAAGCTATAAATGTTATTACCATTCAAATTACGGAATAACGTTTAAATTCATCAGTGAGCTGCAGCAAATTATTTCATATTTTATTCTTAATATCAATATTCATAAATACCTCCTTCATAGGGTAAAATTTTATGTTCCGTGAATTGCAACTTATTAGTTTAACACTTTACTGACCGCTAACAGTTCAACAGCATACACACGTCTGTCTGGCGCCGCAGATTCTCCCTGTCGTGAATAACTTTCAGGACAATCTGATTGAAATAAATAAAACTCTCCAGTACCATTTTTTTTCGTTCATCGTGAACGATAAATTTTAAAAAAATGGTGTGAAAATGTGGCAGTGTACCTCAATACTACTTATAAAATGCAGATGATATAGCAAATGGCAATTGTTTATCTCCACGGTTACCCATTGATATGCTATTTTTAGGTAGCCCTGAGAAAAAAGCTATTAATAGGATATTGGTTTGTAGGCATTGGCGAAAAAAGCCGATTAACACATGATTGGTTGGCAATAAAAAGCCAATTAATGGGCTATCGGTCGGTAGGTATTGGCAATAGAAAGCCGATTAATTAGGCGATCGGTTGGTAAAGTCTTAAGCTATAAGTGAATAACAACTTGAACGCTACACTTGGTGTTTGGAATTCCACATAAAACTCAGTTTGATTTTGAATTTTCAAAAACTTAATCATTTCATTTTGAAGTTCAAATAACCTTGTTTGTATATTTCCTTTTGAGAGCCACGATTCTTTCATATAAAATAACTGTTTTATGTTCTGTGCAAAGGCCCATAAAAAGTTGGTATTTAATGCATTTTTTTTAACGATTGACAATTTTGATTGGATATAAGTTTTATCAGTCATGTTATTTGCTGTTAAAGAATTGTAAATGAATTTGTTGTTAGTAGTACATTTTATTCATTGTGGATCTAATTAAGGACTGATAAGTCATTAGAAGATAATTCTTTTTTATGCCACTAAAATAAGGCTATTATTTCAAAATTTCAATAAAATTGCCAACAATAAATTAAACAGTTTTTGCTTTAATTAATAGAGTGTTTTATTATTTTTAGATCTTTTTATTTAATAATTAAGATATAGTAGTTAATTAAGATAGCACATGAAATATTGGTAATCCTAGTGGCATTGATCCACTGAGATGTGGATGGATTATGTTTAAAAGTGAAAAGAATATTATATATTAGTATTATTATATTTAGTATATGTTTCTGAAAAATAATCTTCTTTTCTTATCATTATTTAAGTTGCCAATAGAACAGTTAACTGAATTATTTCTTAAGTTTAAATGAAGGAAATTTTTTTTTTTATTCACATAGCAATATTAGTTGATATTACAATAATATCAGCTTTATTTTAAAGGAATTATTTATGTATAAGATATATTTGAGAACTTTAATCACAGATATCTTTGACAGTGTCGCATCAAAAATGTTGCAAAAGTTTTTAATAGTATACAGGGTGTCCTAGAGTTCTTTCCCTGATTTCAAATATTCATAAGGCATAAAATATGACACATAGACAAATACTTTTTATTTTAAAATCCATGTAAAATGTTCAAGTTTTTGTGTACACAATTAACAAATTGCTACATGTGATTTTTTTTTTTTTTTTTTTTTTTTTGTTTTGTTTTGTTGTTGTTGCCCAAAGGTATCCAGGCAATATTCCAATTCCATCCATGTAGTGGTCAACATTACAAGAGGGATTGATGTTATGACTTAAGTAATTCCTCACCGTGATGCTGCAATGTCGTTCACTAGTGCTTTTTAAACCTGGTCTTTGACCTGGTCCAAGGGAAGAAAGTCAATGAGTAGTGTTATGTCTGGTGATCGCGGAGGCGAGTTTATAGGACCATCATGCTCGATCCAACCTGCCAGAAATGTTGTATCCAAATGGACAAGGACATCTGTGAGGTGTGCTCCCAATGAGGTGGTGCTCGCATCTTGCTGGATGTCCTGAATGTTCGGAATGTCCTGAATTTGTGGCACAACAAATAACTGCAAATCAAGATAGGTATTGGCTGTGATCATCTTTGCACTGAAGAAAAAAGGTCCTATGATTTTATTGTGCATAAGACTGCATCACACGTTCAGCTTAGGGCTGTCTCTGACGATCTTAAACACAGTGTGGGCATTTGTGCATTCCCAGATTCTAGCATTGTGCCGGTTGACACAACTATTGAAATGAAATCCTTTTTTGTGCTTAATACTGTATTGATTTTTTATGTGTAATTTAATTTAAGCTGTGGCTAAAACTCTTTTGGGTTATAAGTAGAATTTAAATTAAATCATCACTAATTTTATTCATATGATGCTGTTTATTTATAGAGCATTTGTTCCAGTGAATAACTGTTTTCTTATGTCACGTGAATATCCAACACCCAAAACTCCGAAACAGAATAAATTTCTGGATGCAATGAAGGAATTAAATGCATATATAAGTAGATTCAATAAGGAAGTTGGAACATTTCAATTTGCAGCAGCAAAAATGGCATATGAAACCGAAAATCTTGACTGTGATCATAGTGAAACTGTAGAAATGGTATGTTATATTGTTGAAATATTTTATGCATTATTAAAACTGGCATAATCCTTTGAATGCATTTAGCATTATTTTAGTAATATGTTTCCTCGCTACTTTAAAAACTGTAGAATTAATAATTAACATACTTTAAAGGAGTTTTGTTTCAATGTAATTAATTAAAAATGTTATAAAAATTTCTTTTATGAAAATCATTTCTCTGAACTTTGGCAACCACTGTTTAGGTGTCTAAATATGAAAATGAATATGGTTGAATCCCACTTTAATGAACTTTAAGGGGCTGGAAATTTGGAACGCTATATCCAGTCTGATAAAAAGAAAGGATTATCTCACAAAAATGTTTAAAGTTTAATGATGAAACAAAGAAGACAATTGATTAACATTGTCACATCAAACAAAAGAGGTTAATCTAAATTGTAATAAGATTTAATCACAAATTTTACTATGCACAGTTATTAAATTTATTGCATATTTTTTTCCATTCTCTCCAAAGAGTCTAGGGAATTCACTGGCCAGTGTCTGAAGCATTTATCCATTACGGCTTCTTTGAATGACGAATCGTTTCAGTACAACATCCTTTCATCATCCATGACAACTTTTTCTTTGTATTCAATTTTTTTCTATGAGCAGAAATTAGAGAGTTATGATTTTTTCATATATGTGTGTCACTAAAAATGTGAACTTCGAAGCCCGAATTTTTAATTTTTTGTTTGTTTAATATTTTTTCCAAACTTAATGACGTTTTGATGAACAAACTCGATGATTTAAAAGCAGTATTTTGCCACTTAGTAAATCATATGCTATTTATGTTTCAAATCTAATCAGAAAACTTAGCTGTTTAAAGGCATTTATTGCTGCTGTCTGAAATAAAATATTTCGTTTTCTTTATACCAGTGTATTACCATTTTTCAAAGTATAAAATATTTTATTTTTCTTTCAAATTTAATTTGTCTATTTGATTAACAAGCTAAACAATTTAGGAGCAATAAACAAACATCTCTATTTTTATTAATTTTTGGTTACCTAAATGACACTAGCTGGACTGATTAAAATCAGTATATATATTTCTTTTTTATTATAACTGTTTTAGGTGGCTAGTGTTTAAATAGTTCAACAACCTGAATCATGGATTATAATGTAAGTTTAAGTCAGGTCAAAGTTCTTTTGAAATGGCATTGCCATGCAGCATGAAAGCCTCTCCATAAACTCCCAATTTTTCATATTTCAAGGTTGAGGTATACATTGCTCTATTTATTGTGCGTATGTCAAATATCCAGCTGTATTTTTTGTATGTCTGTTTCCCTAAAAAGATGACAGCTAAATTGTTTTTCTACAGTTTGGCATAATTTACTGAATTATTGCTATTTGATTGGTCCCTGGAACAAAGACTATAATAATTTATAGATTTCAGTTTGATTGAAACTGTTTGTCTGAAATAAGTTAATTGAGCTTTTTTCTCTCCATCAAATATTTGAATTCTATATTTAATTCCCTAGGTAGAAATAAACATGTATGTACGTTTAAATTTTTTTTAGAAATATTTTTAAAATTTATATTTTTGAATTTATTTTTATATAAATACTTTTTTAATGAAAATAGCAATTTTTATAAACATTCAGATAAGAGAAGTATAAAAATTTACCCACAAATATGGCCATTGGTGTAACTTTGAATGCAAATTACTTTTACTTGCAAATCTTGAGCAAAATCATAAGCTGATGTAATACGAATAGAGGGGGGTAATTCTATTCAGAAATATAACAACATTTTTATAGGAATTAAAAGGTAAGTTGAAGCTACTTTTGATTGAGTTACAAGAATCACCAGGGGCTTAAATATATGTGTTTCATTAAGTTTTTTGTAAGTTAAAAATAATTTATCTTTCCTAGGTTAGATACATTTTTTTTTGCTTTAGAAATGCTTTAAAATTAATATAAATTTAAGTTAAATAAAACAGTGTGGTGAATATGTAAAACAATGTGGGTACTTTCTTTTAAATTCGGTCACCACATACATCTTTGGCGACATGTGAAATTTATTGTTTCAGAATGAGTAAGTTTACCAATTCTGATGATTAAGCATATAGTTGCTTTAACAAAAGTGTATCAAAATATGTTTTAAACTAGTGTTTTCATTTTAAAAGTTTTGATTTTGCTACATTTAAATACTGTTAAAGCTGTATTTAACTTCACGATGCACAGCATTTAAAATATAATTTTGTTTTTATTGCAGGATGAAAGGGACAACAGTTTTACAATTACTGGTAATTTCTCCTTTCTGAAATAAATGTACTTAATAGCAATATATAAACATAACCCAAAGTTAAAATAAAATCTGTATTTAGTTGTTATTCAAATGAATTATTGTGAGTTAGAATATTTGAAAATTTATAAATTTGAATTTAAGTATTGTGGCAGTATTCTAGACTTCTTTTTATCTGGAGTATCATTTAATTTTTTTAGACCTAGTAAAATTAAATCTTGGTTTATTAATGAGTTAGTAATTTTTTTTTAATTTACGATACCGTTAAATAACAAAGAATATGTACGTCTGCATGTTCCTTGCATTGTGAAAAAATGGCAGTACCGAGCGCTACCAAATTTTGAATTTTGAATGAGTGCTTTTATTTTCTATATATTTTGTGTAAATTTAAGGAATTTTTACAAAGAAGCTTAGTTACGTAGCGTATTCGGAAACTAAGTACCGTTTCATTCTAGCGCCGTTGCAGCGCTGTTGTAGATGTCCCGCGCATGCGCACTAGTCATTCTTGTTCACTGACTTTCAATTGTCGCCATTCTGGTTGCTCTCTGTTGTGTTTTCAGTTTGCTGTGCACATTCAAAATGTTTAAGACAAATAGTTCTCCCGCTGACTGTGAGATTCGTGCCGTGATTAAATTTTTGAATGCGAGGAAGGTTAAACTGGCCGAAATTTATTGTCAAGTGACAGAAGTTTACGGTGAATACGCGATAAGTGATGGAATGGTGAGAAAGTGGGTAAGAATGTTTAATGCAGGTCAAACAAATGTCCATGCCGAGGCTCGGAGTGGTCGGCATTCTGTTGTCACCGATGATTTGGTAAGGAAAGTTGATGAAGCAATTCATGAGAACAGACGCTTCACAATGACAACTCTTTCAGAGGCATTTCCACAAGTTTCACGTACTGTTTTGTTCGAAATTGTGTCTGACCGCCTGAATTATCGCAAACTGTGTTCCCGATGGGTTCCAAAAATGCTCACTGATGTTCACAAAACAAAGCGACTTGGTAGTGCCCTGACATTTCTCACGCGGTACAGTGATGAGGGAGAAAACGTTTTAAATCAAATTGTGACAGGTGATGAAACTTGGGTGTGTCATTTCACACCAAAATCGAAACAACCAATCGATGGAGTGGAGACACACTCATTCTCCGAATAAATAAAAGTTCAAAGTGACAATGTCATCACAAAAAATCATGTGCACTGTCTTCTGGGATAGGAAAGGCGTTTTGCTTACTGAATTTCTTCCCAGAGGTGAAACCATTAATGCGCCACGATATTGTGAGACTTTAACAAAACTAAGGCGTGCCATTCAAAACAAACAAAGAGGAATGCTCAGTAAAGGAATTGTGTTGCTCCATGACAATGCTCGGCCCCATACTGCTGGTGTCACTCAATCGTTAATTCTACAGTTTCATTGGGAGCAGTTCGATCACCTGCCGTACAGCCTGGATTTGGCGCCGTCCGACTGTCACTTGTTCCTGCACATGAAGCGCGAGCTTGGTGGCATGCGCTTTGGATCTGACGATGACACGAAAAATGCTGTGGAGTCGTGGTTATCGAAACTGGCGGGAAGTTTCTTTGACGATGGTATACAAAAACTGGTCACCCGCTATGACAAGTGTTTGATCATTGGCAGAAACTATGTTGAAAAATAGTTTAAGACATGTATTTTCATGTAAAAATAAAATTGGATTCGCAAAAATTGTTTTGATTTTTTTTTTCTTTTTTCAAAACGGTACTTAGTTTCCGAATACGCCTTGTATTTAAAAGCTGTGTGTTGCCCGTTCTCGAAATAAAACGCTTTTGTCTTGTGTGTGCCATTTATGTTTGCCACTTTGCAAAGTATAAGGAATTTAACTTTCAGATTTTATTAACCTGTTCAGCCATTCAAAAGCAAAGTGTTGCTATTGCTGGAAATAAAGTACTTTTACCTTCCTTGCAATTTGGAAAAGCATGAGATATTTTAACTTCTAAATTTTAGTTAGTCTGTTACTGATTAGGATACTAAGTTATTTAAGAGCAATAAATACAATTCTGGATAGTATTTTTAACTTTTTAATATGATTGGTATAAATAAAAATGCATTTAATTTATGATAATGTAATTAATAATTTTTATAGACATTATTTTTGGTGATCAAAGATTTTCTAATGGCTTATGATATAGCAACTAATACAAAATCCTTTTTTAAAAATCTTTTATCTTTTTAAAGGACATCCTTCAAGATGCTTTATTGCTTAGCTGAACTTATGCTAATAATTTGTATGGAAATTTTTCAGTATTTATTATGGTTAAGCTGTTCAGTCTGTCTTGTATCTTGTGATAATATGCTTTAAATGCTTTTCCTGACTTTTTAAATAGTTCTCTGAGAAAGATTTACCAGGCTTCATTGCATGGGTAGGAAAGAAAAAGGAATTTTGGTAGAGATACAATATGTAAGACTATTGCTATGGAACAACTGCTATGCCCCCTATTATCAAATTCTTCAATAAAACAGTAGATATTTGAGCTAATATCTCGCTACTGCCAATTTATGTTAAAAATATGGAATGGCATATCAGTTATAATATATATATGGCTTAGAAGGTCTGAAAGAAAGAAGCTAATCCACATTTCATATTTCATGTTTAGTTGTTAACCCCTTAACTGCCACAGGCGTATATATGCCTTGTTCAGCTGATGCATTAACTGCCCCGGGCATATACAGTACAAAGTCCATAATCCGTATTCGTCGATTCCGGATTATAGATCATCAATTTAAATCTGGTAAGATGACATGCAGAAATTATAAAATTAAAAATATGAAACCGAATTCTGAAATAAAGAGCAATTATGATCTGAAGGGTATCAAAATTTACAAAAAAAAAAAAAAAAAAAAAAAAAAAAAAAAAAAAAAAAAAAAAGCATAATATTTATTTGTTTATTTTATTAAACATTTCTTTCAATGTAAGTTGTGTAAGTTCCTTCGTTTTATGTGCTAATACTTTCTCTTTAATTCTATAAACAGACATAATTTCTTGTTCAGTTACAAAGTTCCGCTGTTCAAGTCCTGTAATTGCTATGTCGAGAATACCGACTAGTTTGTCAATCGAAATTTTTTTGTTTTTAATAACCTCTCTGTCACTTTCTTCACTATCGGAAGCGGTATTTTCTGGATCTAGACCCATACTACAGATTTTGCTGTCCGTTGATTGATGATTGGGGCATTGTCGTCTCAATGAAAATTTTCTGTTATATATCATCTTCATTTATTACCGCTTCTCCACATTTCTTTACAAAATCTAATAACTGGAAAATTTCACCTTTAGTTTGCGATGTTCGAAAATCTTCAAATTCGCGGCTGTCATCTTCATCGTCCTTACCATGAAATATGGTAGCTGGCCATAAATTATGCCAAGCATTTTTTAACGTAACTGGAGACACATCCTCCCACAATCTTGGGATACTCCACACAGCAGATTTTATGCTAAAAAATTTCAAAAAGTCTTGAATAGTCTTGCCATTGTTCAAGAAATTTAACATAGATTTTAAAAATGCTACTTTATATATGCATTTCAGTGCATGCACTATTCCCATATCTATAGGCTGAACGATAGACGTTCAATTTGAAGGGAAGAATAATACGAATACATTATCTTTCACTAAAACTTTAAGTGAAGTATGCCCCGAACAGTTGTCAACAATCAGGACTTTTTTGAGTCATTGGGGAAACCAACCGAATTAAAATGTCGCCGACCCTCGGGTATAAAATGATTTTCAAATCGTTCATCAACGCTTGTGTCATCCATGCTCTTTTATTTGCGCGATATATAACAGGGCAAATCGTTACTCCTTTAAATGCTCGAGGTAGTGCATGTTTTCCGATTATGAAAAGTTTGCACTAGTGCGTTCCTGCTGCATTTACGCACACTAAAATTGTTAGTCTCGCTTTGGAATCTTTCAAACCAGTTGGAGCCTTTTCTGTAGTGGTTGCCAAGGTATTTTGCAGTACATATTGCCAGAAGAGACCAGCTTCATCAACATTGTAAATTTGTTCTGGAGATAATTGTTCACTAGTAATGAATTTAATGAATTCATCTGCAAATTGTTCAGCAGCTTCAGTATCAGCTGAAGCTTTTTAACCTGAAATTTTTAATTGTCTTATACCATGGTGATTTTTAAATTTGGTTAACCAACCTGTCGAATATGTGCACTCAGTGTTTAAGTTCATTTCTTTTGGCTTGGGAAATTAGCATTGGACCCGTCGATGGCACGCCCTCGCTGCGACGCTGTCTGACCCATTCAATCATCACTTTGTCATGATCGTCACTTTTAGCATAATTGTTGGAAAATATGATCTATTGTAACCCTTTTTCTGCATCATCTCCCCTCCTTGAAATGATTCTAACTTTTACACAAGTTATTTATAGAACATCTAGTTTAGTTCTTATTTTAAAAAGATATAGTAGTTACTTCTACTTCGTTTTTCACTGCCACTGTTGGTATTAAGAACGGACTGTTTCAGCCTAATTAAGATGCAAAAACGAAACTTGATGTTACGTCATCTGGAAAGCTGAGTTGTGTCGATAGCTGATTGATTGCCGTGAGATGACGTCATGTCTACTTCAGGTATAAGTGTCTTGCGTCGCTCTGGCTCATTCCTTCTAGTTCCTGTTTTCTTGGCTCCTTGGTGTGCAGTTTCCAGCCCCTATTGGAAGACGTCTTGCGATGCGTGCAGTCCGGTGATAAGTGCCGTGGTTCCAGTCTACAAGATGACTTTTCCTGGATAAGTTCCGTGTTTCCAGTCTACAAGATGACTTTTCTGGTGATAAGTTTCGTGGTTCCAGTCTACAAGATGACTTTTACTGGATTCTGAAAAGAAGCTACAATGTGAGTGACTGCCGTGGGCGGCATCCTGTTTCTACGGTGGCGGCAATAGATCCAACCTTGATTTCCGGTGAGCAACTGATGGGCGGCATCCTGTTTCATGAAGGCGGCATTAAAAGGTTTTTTTTTAATACAAAAA